TCGAGTCAACACTTGGATCAGAGACTCAAAGACATTGTGGAGGAAGTGGTGGACCAGACGTTCACCAAAAGCCAGGCCTTCGATGTCGTGTCGTCTCTGATCGAGGAGGGGATGGATAGGCGTCGGGGCCCGACCTGGCATTGGGTCGTCGGTCAGGCGTTTGGCGCCACATATTCGCTAACGAAAGACACAAACGTCCGCTACTTTTACGGCTCCGTCACTCTTATCATCTTCAGGGCCGCGAAGAAGAGTCCGTTCAAGAGATCAGTGAATCCAATGAGGACTCCATCCGAGAGATTGAATGCAATGAAGGGATTACTCAACAAATAATAGCCATTCCTTCCCTTATTCTGAATGTTTTGGTTTCAATTAAAGAGTTTATTATTCAATCATTTATTAGTTATTAAACTCTATTTTATGTAAAATTTTTAATAAAATTATGCAATTCTTATGTTTAATACAGTATTTTTCATTCAATAGAAACACATCAAATTGAATATTAAAAAGATTATAAATAATTTCCTTAATTTATAAGTTAGTGTTAATGTTTATCTTGATTAAATCTTAATAAAGTAATTTATTTCTTATATAAAGAGATTGTATGATTGCATACACTTTTATATTCAATTGTAGTTAATTGCATACAATGTAAATAAAATGCTATGAATTTGTATACAATAATTGCATTCAACAATAATACCGATAATATTGAGAATTCTCGCATATAATCAGTAAATGAAAGACTATTTAAATGATTTCAATTCAAATCACAAGTCATTCAACAGTTTTGAAGCAAATCTGAGGTTTGATTGAATTCCTAATCATCGAAAGCAAATTGAGATTCAATTGAGAAGTAATGGCGCGAACAAAGAGCAGTAGTGGTGGTGAGGATAGGGATGAAGGCAGTGATGAGAGCAGTGAAGGCTCCGACGGTTCGGGCCGTAGAGGCAGAAGTGGTGGCCGTAAAGGGAGTGGTGTTGCGAAGAAGTGCGGGCAAGAGGTGCGTCCACTTCCACACCAAATACAAGGGCGCCAAGAGATGCAAAGGGATGGAGGGCTCCGGGAAGGCATGCGTTCACTTCCATCCCTAAGGAAAGGGAGGAAAGGGTCGGAAGAGGAGGAGAAGCAGACGCTGAGACCAGTAGACGAAGAGTCCGACCGCCGCTCAACATATTGTCAATCGGGTGGCAAACCATTCATTATTTCGCTGTCTTTTCCCTCTTTTTATGTAAAAAATCCAAATCTCAGTGAAATCTCAATAAAAATTGTGTTTTGAAAACAGTATACGAATTGTTTGTCTTTTTGATTGAATTGATCTTTGATTTGATTGAAAACATTGTTTTGAATACATATTTCAATTGATATTTTGTCTAAAATCTAATTAAAGTGACTGTAATATAAATAACTGTATACTGTATTTAACCTAGCTCACAAATACTGTACAGTACTATAAAAACTATGAATTAGCAGTTGATTAAAATAAAAGTTACTCTTTTGTAGTATAAAATCTATTATATAAATAAAAACTTGATTTTATAAATGTTTTATTAAAATGACTGATAAATGGAAATCTATTTATTTAGTTGAATAATTTATATAAATTAAATAAATTTTAATATTTATATCTTAATATGAAGCAATTGTATAGCAATTTAAAATATAAACTAATATTTATATAATCTATCATTTAAATGTTTAAGATTTTTTGGTTTTGTTTCAATTTATATTAATTTAAGCATTTAATTAAATTTCAAGTTCAGTCATTGAATACAATATTTGTGCTTTATATGAATATTAAGTTAAATAAATCTTAACTTAATTATTCTTAAATTATTATATATTAAATGTCTTATTATAAAAAGAAATTCAAAAACAAAAACTTTATATAAACTGAGTAATTTATATTACATGGCTTAATTGTTTAAAATATTTAGATTTATATATTTAGGTTCCCTTAGTATTCTGCATTCAAATTCAGTTTATTCTGTTAACATGTATATTAGCCATCAAATTATATTACTATTTATTGTGAATGTTAATGTTAATGTATTTATCGATTCATTCAATTTCTCTAAATTGCCTGAAACCATATATGATGATAATGATGATCAATATATCCCTGATAAATTCATACCTATAGTAGCTAAGCCTGGATTGCGGTTCCCATGTATGCTCAACAAAGGTATGTTAAGAGGTTTTGGTAATTGTGTGCCCAAACGGGAGTGTTGCTCAACAAAACAGTGGACATACAGTGACACCGATTACGGTGACTGTGCCTACAAACAGTTTTGCTGCACTCATCAGGTTCTCTGTCAAGGTATTCATCAATAATTAATTATTTCCCAATATATCACTCATTTCTCAAATGTTTAATAACCTATGATTCGTGATATTATGTCAAGTGTTGTGAAGCACTAATATAGTTCACAATTTATATTTAATTTTAGGCTGCGCTGATGGCACCCGAGAAATCAATAAAACTTGTATTGATATAAACGAGTATAATTGTGATGAAATACAATAATATTATAATTAACCAGGATTGTATTTATGAATACATAGATGTGATGAAACATATGGCTTATGTTCGGGTCACGGGTGCATGAATTTGTTGGGCACCTATACCTGTCAGTGCTTTCATGGCTATAAGATTACAGGTTTATGTCTTATTAGGTTAAAAATATTAAAAAAATAATATTTTCATAAAAATTTCTTTAGAATCGTCGGACAAACTCAAGACCTGCAGACATATAAATGAGTCCAAAAGGGCTGACCTATTATTCTCGGCCTCCCTTACAATGAATTCATTTTCATTAAATGAAAAAACTAAGAAATCAGACAATATATCAGACAATATATCAGACAATATATCAGACAATATATCAGACAATATATCAATGCTTTATTCGGGAACTCTTTTACCACAATCTCTGGATTATAGTCTGAACGGCAATTATATCGTGTGGACAGACATAGCCTTAAATCAGATAAATATGGCGCCAATGGTCAGCACGAGTGCCAGTCTCGTGATGGAGAGGACAGTGATTAGACACTCAAAGAATCCCATTTGTGTGTCAGTCGATTGGATCCATGACTTGTTGTATTGGATTGATTTGGACACCAGAACTATAAACGTGTTGAATGTGTTGAAACCGATGGACTCCTATGTGGTCCTCAATGTCACGAACCAAGAGCCACACGATCTGGTGGTGAACGTTATGGACAGTAGTCTCGTATGGAATCACTTGGGAATCAAACCCAGAATTATGCGCTCATTTCAAGACGGATCCAATCAAACGATTCTCTATTCAAACGCCAAACAAATATTTTGTCTCACAATCGATGTCTTTATCAAAAGGTATTACTTTTTGGACATTTATTTCACTCTCTATTCCATTGACTTCAACGGTGGCGATGAGAGGAAGATCTTCACATCCGTCGGACTATTAAGTAATATAAACAGTCTTTCCATCCATTATGACAACTTATACCTGTCAACGAGTGGTTTGGTATTCAAAGTCAATAAGTTTGGACTTTTCGACCCCCATATGGGTGAGAGGGGGCAGGCGGTGGTCACTTCATCGCAACCTAATTATAATTATAAGCCATTTATTACGGAAAACGCCACACATTTGAATAGTAGAGAGATTTTTAATATCAAAATAGTTGATCCAATACTTCAGCCGCAGCTCCAAAATAAATGTCTGTACAACAAGTGCTCCCATATATGCCTGCCTTCAGATGATATACAGATATACCGATGTCTTTGTCCCAAAGACACGATTTTAATCGATGACAGCGTTTGCAGTGAAAAGCGTTTCGAGACTTTAGTGGTTGAGTCACTTCACTGGGAAATTGCCTGCCTTCAGATGATATACAGATATACCGATGTCTTTGTCCCAAAGACACGATTTTAATCGATGACAGCGTTTGCAGTGAAAAGCGTTTCGAGACTTTAGTGGTTGAGTCACTTCACTGGGAAAAGGATTTACAGAATCTTATCAAACACTCCATCAGGAAATCAATTGATTTGAGAAAACTGTTGAATCAGTCGTTTGAGCGTCAAATGGATTTAAACCATTTGTTTGACGTCTACTTCAACGAGTCGTTTGATTTGAAGAATTTGTTTCATTTGAACGAAAATCAAAAGATAAAAATGAAGAGAGGATTCGTTAAAGTGATTAATGAGACACTCTTTTGGAGACAACTTTTTAACTCAACTTTCTATAATAAAAATCAACTCAATTTGAGTTTTAATGAGTCTTTCAATTCAGAGAATTTGACCGAAATGATGACAGTTTTAGATCATTTGATGAAAAGTGATGATTTAGACGAGTGGTCATCCAATGGCATACAATATGACCTCAAAATCGGGGAGTTTGTGATTCACTCATTCATTTTGATTGCTTTGTTAACTATAATTGCACTCTTTTCATACATTGGGTAACTATATTTAGTATTTAATAGTTTAGATACCGTATAATTGATTAATTTTTAAAAATTTCATTTGTAGGTATAAATTACGATCAATGGTGTTTAGAAATTGCTTACAATATTCACCACACAATGTAAGAGTGGATTTGCAACGAAATGGACGAGAAAATAATTATAATAAGACTTTCAAAGTAATGGAAACTAAGAATTAAAATGTTATTATTACCCGTATAAAGTTAATATATTTCTAAAAATTATCTATTTCTAACATTAGAAAAGTTTAATGTCCAATTTTACTGTTAAAGTTAAAGTTTTCATTATAATTTGAGTACATTCTACACGATAAAGTTGATAACTATCTTATAAATCTCGATTTAAATCCAAATAATTCAATAAAATAAGATTTCCTTTTAATAATCTTTTTCACAATAAAGTATACAAATTTTTAATTAATATAAAAAGGTGAACCTGGTTGAACTAAATATCTATTTCATGAGTAATACAGGAGTAATGACAGAGAAATCAGACAAAGTTTTGCCTCGTAATGAAGATAATGACATAACGTTCACAGAATTCTTGTATACCGTATCTGTGAATGTATGGCTCATATCAGAAATCATTAATCACATTAATTGTAATTTATAGGTATATCCCTATTATTAGCAAAAATCCACATTAAGTTGTACATCAATTGTGACATAAATGTGTGAAAGGATTAGCATTTGATAACAATTTATTAAACTTATTATGCATTAGTTGTAAATAATAAGACTGAAGTTAATTCAAGGGCTCAAAGTTTGGTTACGACTACTGAACGTCTGTATAAAACGACAATCGCTATGAATGTGACAATCAATTGATTGCAAACAAGTGATCGTTTGAAGTGATGAAATATTTGTGTTTTGCTATTATATGGGCACTGAATGTGCACTTAATTTACGGTACGGATGAGTGTGGGATCAGTCATTACAAACGGCCTAATAGTAATATAGCCGGGGGGAGGGAGGCCCGTAAGGGTGAGTTCCCATGGATGATATCAGTGCAGAAGAGAAATCCAGGTGACCCAGGGCACCAACACCACTGCGGGGCCAGTGTTATCAACCGGAAATGGATACTAACAGCAACTCACTGTCTAAGAGGGTAACTAACTTAACACCAATTATTGTATAGCATATAAAATTAAATGTCGAATCAATACAACACTAGTATTGATGCTAAAGACTTGCAAATAGTGGCCGGTGCTCATGATATAAAATCGTGGACCGACCACATGTCCAGACACATGGTCGAGCATATGGTGCTGCACCCGGACTTCGACAATAGGACCGGACTTAACGACATCGCACTCATTAAAGTAAAGCAGGAGTTCCTGTTTGAGGAGAAGTCCGAGTGGTTGGTCAACAGTGTGTGTCTGCCAAAAGAGGGTTACAGTCCCCGGGAAAGTTTGGGAACGGCTGTGGGGTGGGGCCGTAAGTCTGACAAAGGAGCATTGTCCAAAATCCTCAAAACGGTTGACCTACCGATCCTCAAACAAGACGACTGTCGCCGTTTGGTTGGCTATGATTTCCTCAAAGACCAGGAGTTCTGTGCGGGCGGTCAACACGATAAGGACACGTGTACGGTATGGGCTATTAGTTTGTGATTTAATTGATATAAAGATTATGTAACATAACTTATGTTAAATATATAAATAACTCTAATTTAAGGGCGATTCTGGAGGACCTGTCACACAGATCATAGAAAACCGGGCAGTGCTGGTGGGTATTACGAGTGCCGGATTGGGGGGTGTGCCCTGCGGATCAACCGGTTGGCCCGCCATTTACACAGACGTCAGTAAATATATTCATTGGATTAACGAACACATTGACTAAATTAACAATTGTTGTAAATGTCTAAAAAATGGCCACATCTTTATTAATGGTTTATAAAAAAATTCCAATAAATTACAAATTACTTAACGCTAAAATATATTAATTAATTTAAATTTATAAATGTGTTTATCGCTTATAAATATTACCGTACAATCTAAACAAAATGAAAATTAAATAACTGTTTCATTCATTGAATATGCATTGATTTGGAATTATAGCTGTTTTATTGGTGTAATTCTCTATTATAGCGCAAACATAATAAACATAATAAACACTCAAAACAGAGACAAAATAACTTGACTTAAATACAGAATATCATAAATAATTAAAAATAACTAATCTATAATTAAAATGAATTCATAAATAATAGGTAATAGTGTTTTCAATGAAGGGGTAATTGACAACAATTATATGCGCTATACTAGAGATTATAAAACACATAATTCAAGTGACTCTAAAACACAATCATTGAGTATTAGTCTGTAAAATAGACTACAAATTGAATAATTTCTATTAAACATGAAATACTAGTTCAATAGAATTGGCAACTGATTTGCATTTGATCGGAATGTTTGGCAAAATAAAAACAAGCCTTCACTCCAAACCACATATTCATTACACGAAATCAATATTAAATTAATATTGCATTTAATCTAATTGTAAAACGAATTAGACTTGTATTACACTCGCACGGGGATCACATGTCCCTCAGTGTTGATCACATACTTGTCCAACAGTTGATTCACAACGTGTTTGTCGTCACAAAACAACAGATATAAATACTTGAGGGTCTCTGCGAACCAAAACGACTCCATCATGTCTTTGGGCCGAACATTGTCTGGATTGCGGACGTCGTCTATAGAGGTATAGCCACCGGACTTCACGCGCGAGTACTTATTAAACGCTTTAAATATCTATTCATTCAAATCAACCATACATTAGATAATGAAAGCACGGGTAACAATGGAAAGCGCCTGACCTGCCAGCCCCACGTCCTATATATAGGTTTGCCAGTGATGTGGTACAAGTAGAACAACGACTCGACAAACTCGGGGCGCAAGAGGTTGTGGGCGTCGGCCGGTCTGATCTGGAGCTCGTCGTCATTACCGGTCTCATCGAAGTACGCGATCTCCGGCGAGAGTCCAGTCTTCGTGAGGTTATACATGTAATGACACGTTCGGCCCAACTTCTCGGCCAACACCAGGTGCTCGTTGAAGGGCGAGTCCTCGGCCACAGAGTGGCCGTGAATTTTGGGCGCTTTCATCACCTCGTGATAGTAGCCCAGCGCTAGAGTGCCCGATAGGAAGCACACCAAGTGATCCATTTTCGGGTGGATATCACTACTGGTATAGCTGCCGGCCCTCTGTATTTCGCCAATGAATGTCAACTTTAGCGGCCCTTTAGTGGTGCGCACCAGTCGTTTCTGGACCTCATCCATGGCTTTCAAATAATCCTCTTTAAGCCACGGAATACCCGTTTGGAGGTATTGTTTGAGTAGATATTCGTAATACGAGTCCCCGCGAGCGCCCAAAGTTATGGTCCCTTTACTGAACTGACCTGTCGTTCAATTGTGTTAACCATTACAACCAGATTTAAG